ATATATATATATATATATATATATATATATATATATATATATATATATATATATATATATTAGTATCAGAAATAGTCTTAAATCCTTTCGTCGGAATCATTCTTGGATTATAAATTATCTATTATTTTATATTTTTAACACTGCATGCTAATGCGCCAATACGGACAGCAGCCATGAAGAACACGTTCACGTGAAGCGGACCGCATGGTGGCCACCCGCTTCCGCCTAGTGAGGTGTTGCTATCGGAAACTGGCTTACCCCTGCCACTCGACGCCAACGATGGGGGTGGCGCGGAGTGGAGGAGGGCCGGGCAAATCCCCCCACCCACCTTACCCTCTCCTGTTCTCTTTTGGAGGAGGAATCACATGATTTGCCTACTTGAATTCGACTTCCGGAACACATGGAGAGACACATTCATCTGGGAAGGAGATGTCTTCTGCCCTTTTTCCAGTGACTTCACCGTCTCCAGGAAGGAAAGGTCTTCCGGAAAAGGACAGAAACTATCACCACCACCTGTTGTTTCACCACCACTGGTCAAGCAATTTCAGTGCTTCAGTCAAGGCTTTGGAAATATCATCATTGTCTGTGCAAATTTTCCGACTCTAAACAATGGACATACATGTTTATCAATTTAAGCTCCACCAATAGTGAGGAAGATCGAGATAAGTTAACAAGCTTCCAAATTTGATGCTATTCTTCTCAAACAAGTACATTATATTCATAGGATACATGTATAAATTACCTTGCATAAGAGGTTCTAACTCATGTTTTGCAGATTTAGTGAGTTACAAAAAGAGAAAAGGCATCAGCCTGGTTCCTACTTCAAAAGAATCTGTTGACTTGTCTCATCGAGCTTAATTTCCTTGTAAGACTCATATGCAACAGATAGGCGACTCTGAATTCTTCTAGGCTACTTCTATGCAGCAGCCTTACAAACAACACAGGACAATCTACACACCACCAACGCTAGGAAGTTGCCGAGTTCCCTGCGTAGACTACCTCGCAAGTTTCAGCGATGTGTATCACCGCCGTGAAGCCAGTTTCTCTTCCGAGCTCAGCTTTTCAGCAGCACTGAGTAGCAAATCCATTGACCCACCAACTTCATTAGACTGCCTGTCTTCATTCTTCCTGTGCTGCTGCAAAATCCATTGCTCGTATCTTCTCATCCCTTCCCTTGCTCTAGCAATGTTGCATGGGACACAATACCACTGTCCCCTGGGTACTGATGTACGAGGTGGTTTCATGCAGTAAGTGTGATACGCCTCATCACAACCATCACATAGAACAATCTTATCATCATCCTTATCGCAAAAGCAGGCCCTGCAGAGGCATGATGGGCAATACCAACATGGTTGGTTCTGTTGTTGTGGACTCGCTATCTGACTACTTTTTAGGCATCTGATATGATAGAACCTGTAAGGGCAGTGAATATGACCACATATTAAAAACTTTTTCTCTTCGCCCTCACTTGTTCCGCAAATCTTGCACAAGCATGATATAGCAGTCCTCGACAGTTCTGGTGTCTCTTCGGACTCCATACTTGAGACTGAGCTCTCCCCAGAGTCAGCAGCTACTCTGATCCTACTGTCATTCTCATCAAGGTCCTCTAGTGTCTCGGAAACTTCAAGCCTGTCACAAACCACACAATTTTGGTGCAAGCTACCTTTATTAACTTCAGTGCAGACCGCATCAGCAAAATCCTTGTTGTTTGTACTACAGGCAGCACAGTACCAGCTCCGAGTAGGTATCTCTTTAATAGCAGGTTTAATGCAGGAGAAGTGGTACATTGCCTCACATCCATCACAAATAAGGCTGCCTTCACCATTCGCTTCAGTGCCACACTGCTTACAAGTGCAAGCTTTGTACACATCAGATGCCTCTGTTTGATCAGGTTTTGTGGAACAATCTGACTGTGACGTTGGATACGATCCTGCTGAATTCTTCTTTAAAAGACCTATTTGACAAGTCACCTGCAAGATAAATATGAAGCTGAAAAGCTGCAATCTGGTAATGCAAGTTAAATATGCAAACCACATATTTGGACAAGTATTTACCTCAGGTTTAGGCTCATCAGCTGCATTTACCAGGTCTTCTACAGTCTGAATGCAATTTATGTTCAGTAAATGTTGTTGCATACATGCACATAGTCTCATATCAGGCTATTTTATAAATGTAAATCAGCATATATGATTTAGATTTTTTTATCACAAATCTGGCACTGAGTTCTAAGAGTGCTACAAACTGACATTACCATCCATATGACCACACAGTAGTTCAGATATATGCACCACTCGCAAAATAGGATATGCAGATTGTACAATCAAGGGAGGTCAATAAGGTATACCTGCTTTTGACAGGAAGCCCTTGACAAGCTTGAAAGACTACTAGCTAGAATAATCATTCCTTGACCGATGTTCTGCACCTTGTCCCATATCTGAGAATTGCAAAGGCAAATTTACTTATTCAGCATGCCAGCAAATCCTCATAAAAAATGAAGTTGTATGATTCAAGTACTTTACATAATCTTGAAAATCAAGTTTATTTATTAAACTTAAGCATTAACATAACAAAATTCATGGATATCCAGAAGTAAACATTAGAACAACTTTTCATCTTCTCAAATTACAGCAAGAGCATGCATGGCCTACAGCAAAGGATGCATTCATCTTCAAGTACAAAGTGCAGGTTAAAGACAAGCTGAAAACGTTATCAGGAGATCTGATAGCCACAGATTTGACTGATCAAATCTTATGAAGATTTAGTCATCATATTAATGGCCACAGAAAGAAGATTTTCCAAAGAATAGAATGCCACAATCAATCACTGGAGTTAGGAATTAAAAAAAAAAGAACTGAGGAATTATGAAATCGTAGTTTGAAGCAAAGACTACGAAGGATGATATACTCTGATAAAGAACAAAGTCAATTAAGCACCCTGATGTGAAAAGATCCAGTTAACATATCATGCTAAACTTGACATGAACTGCACAAACTAATTCAACAAAAAAGGCATTCAATACTAGGCCTCTGACAATCACAGGCAGGCACAAATATGTCATGGCCATGGGGACACACCAAGTCAGGTCCAGGCCTTTACATAACAACATTTTTAGGTGCAAGTGTGTATGTCTTCCACTGACACAGTAACCGGCACACTACAAGTACGTGCACCAGATGGACACCAACATGATTCTGCAGCAGGTTAAATGGCATGATACATTCAGATGAGGTTGAGAACCGGATCACCGCCTTAGAAATCAGTAGAGAGACGTAGAAAAACATTAATTTCATGCAAATAGCCATGAAACTGAATGATATAGAGATGACAGAATTTTAAACAGACTTGAATATAGAAACAGATTTAGCCATCAAGAGACCTCTAAGCATGTCAAGATGTCATTACAAATGTTGATGCAAACCGGAAACAAGTAAAAATCAACATGGCTCAATTAGATCAAAGAACAAATGTGTTAGTATATTATAATTACCTTTTGGACATCCTTGTTACACAATTCTGGTGAATGTTCATAGTCCCCATTTTTCAATTTTGAGTCAATCAGGCTAAAGTCCAAAAAAGATTTAGCCTTATTATCTTCAAAGGTTTCCCATAGAAAATCACACAACATGGCAAACTTTTCTGAAATCAAAATTTCAAGGAAGGCTTTTTCACACTTTCTAGTGTTGGTTTCTTCTTCGTAATAGGAAGCTTTTGTTTCTGCAACTTTTCGTACTTTAGCTGTTTCAAAACAATTTGGATTTTGATATTGAATCTTTACCTCAGAATCCCCTAAATATCTGTCCTGGAATCAATGAGAATTTTCAGATTAGAATACTTTCTTATTTCATATATTCCAGAATAGATAAGCAAATCAGGAAGTACATATCAAAGAAGTACCTTTAGCTGTTCATTGTCCCTGATAAAATAAATCATCATCAACTTGTGGGCAAGTTGAGAATGACCCAATGATAGTGCATCATGGAAGACATTCCAGAGGCCTCGGCCTGGTTTCATATAGGATAACTTGAACTGATGTTCTATTATATTGTTCCAGTGACAAATTATTCTGTGACATTGTTCTGGATGAAAAGTACCAGTACATGGAACGGTCTCACTGGGGTGTATCAAGCCCTGTTGCACACAAAAATCAAGACAGTATGAAGGACAATGTCAAAGCACATTCAGATCTTCACATTTGATAAATTAGCAAACATATGCCTTTCTCCATAAAGTGAAACCACAATAGTTTCTGCTATTAGAAATTACATGGTTAGCTGTACAGAGACATGCAACTTACATCAAATTGTCTCAAATAATCAGCACAAACACAAACTGTCACATGTGGAATGACCAACCAGATAGTAAATAGCGTACAAATATTACAGTTTCTTCTTTACTTCAAAGGAGAGAAGAACCTCAAACAAGGGTTTAAAAAACCAACCATAACAGTAGAGAAGCTCTAACCACCCCCCTCACAGAAAAAAAGACTCTCCCTTCCCCTCTCTCGTCTTCCTCTTCTCTCTGGTCTGTAGGTACCAACCCATACTGAGTGTTAGTATATCAGTCCGCTCCAGTCCCATACTGCCATTGGACCAAGATTTGAACCCTTGCCTAAAAGGAACAACTATAGACTAAACTTAAGAAAATAAATTATATTAGTGCTTAGATCATAGCAAACATGCCCCTCTATATAGGATTTTTGAGAAGTTAGTTCTTTTATTCCACAAAACTTCATCATCCAAAAAAAAGTTCACTAAAAGAGAACACTAGAAGTATCCAAATACAACTCCTGTTAGCCAAATAACCTCCTGAACCCCACTATATCCACAATAACACTCTTGGACACTAATCATTTCCAAGTAGGACTCTTATAATTCCCTAAGATGTTAAATAAAAATAGTGACAAAATTCAGTTAGAAAATCACCAAGTAAAGAAGTTCATAAGTATTCTATCTTGGACGAAATAGAGCACTCAGCACTTGTCCTAGACTCCTAGTTTAATTAGGAAATCGGCCAAGTGATCACCCAACCTAGTCAACATAGTAATTCCAATTAGATTTGTAAATCACCTAAGCAGCTTTCCGTTCTGGTCAAAAAAGGCCGCATAGCACACACCTTGAAGTATTGAACCATGGCCCAATTTCTGGTCAAAAGAGGCCTCTTACACACATTTCAAAGTATTGAACCACAGCCCAGTGCCTCCCACATGGCCTGTGACTGCAATTTACGTTACCTTGTATGCCAAGAGGGATGCATTTGGGACAGCTACAGGCCATGCCATTAGTTGGGCCACAAGACGGCGACTAACTTCATGTTTCGAGTGATCTTAACAATCTCAGTGGTTATATATTCTGTTGGAAATTCCTCCCAATCAAATTGGCCTTTTGATTTTGCTTAGTAATTTGTGAAGATGCTCAGACATTTTGGTTACATGTTTGCTATTTGAATCAGCAATCAGTCAACTATGGTCAACTAAAAGAAGAAAAAGATGCTAGTTATTCAAGAAGCGGAAAAGGTCAGTGATCTCTTTTCCTACTATTCATCCCTGCTTCTCTGCTCTTTGAAACATTTCTTACCTATAAGTCTAGAACCACTACCTACACTACTATATTGCCTTCACCGTCTTGTCACGAACGCTCGTTGCGCACCCGCAATAACTCCGTTCAACGAACCGTTCGTCGCTCTCATCTACATGTACAGCTGCTTGGCAGCATGTTTTGGCTTGGTTTTAAGTTCTTTTGCTTGTAAAAATGTAAGTTCGAACAAGTTGCAGCGTTACAGTGCGACCGCTCACCGAACCGAGCAAAACAACCCAAAATAGCTCCGTTTTTGCGTGCCACGGGCTGTTTTCTGCAGCCCGCTGTGGCACGCGAAACGTCAACCATCTCAGCACCCTAGAACCATATGCAACAGACGGGGGATGGGGCTTCGGTATAGTGTCGAGCGTTGAATAATCTTTCGCAAGTTCGCACGTTACCTTGATAGGAACTTGTTGTCGTGTCAAACACCCGATGAGCAGCTGTTTGTGGACTTGCAGCTGTTCGTTCAACCCTCCAAAGTCCTTGTTTTCCTCCTCTCCCTCTTTTCTCTTGTGTACGCAAGGTGCTCACTGAATTGCTTGTAAAGCTTCCCCTTTTCGCGAGATGTCGAGACTTGTCCGTCGCTCGTTCTTCGAACTAATCAACTTTCTCTTTTACAGGTCCTTCGGGACCTGCGAGAGGTTGCAAGTGGGCTGATCTTTACGGACGCAATCGCAAGGGCGAAGTGCGACTTAGGCAACGCAAGCTGAGTTCGCGTCTTTGCCGCAAGGGTGCCTCACGACTTAGGCAATTCCAGCTAAGTCCATGACATTGTGGTATCAGAGCGGGCAAGCACTTCGAGCGAGCAGCGAAGGAACTTCGCAACTTCGCCATGGCAAAGCATCGTGGCGAATCAAGCAAGACGGGGCAAGTCGGACCCCTGCCCCAAGCAGCCGCAGGTGGGCTGCAAGTGCACACTCGCTCTCATGCTGTTGGAGCCGCTCAGGAGGAGCGCGACAGCGAACATGATGAGTGAGAAGTTGGTTGCTCTCCGCGAGCGGAGGAGACGCAATCTGGAGAGCCAACCGGGAAAAAGAGTCATAAGGAGAGACTCACAATGGCGAAAACCCACTTGGATGTTCTTGAAGCAAGCTTGGAGGAACTCTCCCATGACCAACGAAGGCTTGTTGGGGTAGAAAGCTCGCAAGAAGAAAGGAAATCCAGGATCGACAAGGTTGAGGCCCTAGTCGACCAATTGTCAGATGACACCAAAGACTCCGTGCAACGCCTGCAGGAAGTTGTGGCGGAACTCACTTCAAGGGTGACCATGCTCACAAGAGCACTAAATGCGAGAGGAAGCAACACCCGCGTTATGTCGCCACAAAACTTGAGGGCACCCGAGCCTCATGGTTATGGAGGGGCCAGAGATACCAAAGAGCTCGAGAATTTCCTATTCGACATGGAACAATACTTTCGAGCTACGAGGCCTGATTCCGAAGAAACAAAAGTCTCTATAGCAATAATGTATCTGAACAGAGATGCAAAACTTTGGTGACGAACCCGATGGGAGGAGATCCAACAAGGTCGGTGTCGAGTTGACACATGGGAGGACCTGAAGCGGGAGTTGAGAACTCAATTCCTACCGGAGAACACAGAGTTCGTCGCAAGAAGTTGAGACAACTCCGCCAAAATACTTTCATCCGAGACTACGTGAAGCAATTTTCTACGCTAATGCTGGACATATAGGACATGTCCGAGAAGGACAAGCTGTTCAGCTTCCTCGATGGTTTGAAGCCATGGACTCAACAAGAACTACATCGAAGGAATGTCACCGACGTGATCGTGACAATTGCTGCTGCAGAAAGGCTCACCGACTTTATTTCCTCTGAAGATCCGAGAAAAAGAAAACAATCTTCAAGCAATCGCCCTCCAAAATATTCTCGAGGGAAGGAGCTCAGGGGCGAACAAAGGAAGAAGAGTTCCCACAAAGGGCCAAGCCCGAAAGGCAAGGCCTTTCTTGTAAAGCTTCCCCTTTTCGCGAGACGTCGGGACTTATCCGTCGCTCGTTCTTCGAACTAATCAACTTTCTCTTTTATAGGTCCTTCGGGACCTGCGAGAGGTTACAAGTGGGTTGATCTTTGCGAACGTAAATCGCAAGGGCGAAGCGCGACTTAGGCAACGCAAGCTAAGTTCGCGTCTTTGCCGCAAGGTTGCCTCGAGACTTAGGCAGCGCAAGCTAAATTCGCGTCTTTGCCGCAAGGGTGCCTCACGACTTAGGCAATTCCAGCTAAGTCCGTGACAGTCCGTCTATTTTTACTCCTCTTTCCTTCCTTCTTTTTTGTACAAATCAACATTATCATCCTGTTTAGTGGCTAACAGCGACTATAAAATTGTTGTCATCTCACGACTGAAGTGTATTGCATAATGGCATTCAGTCCAAATTCCATCAACTGTACAGATTTCTCTAAAGCTTGTACTTTTTCCTTTTTTTTTTATTGGTCATCTAAGTTCTTTTTTAAGTGAAATCCCAATCTAAGCAATCCTAAGCCTGATCACAAGTACTGAAGCACAGGTTGATCTCAATTCTGATCGTCTTTCATGTACAATCAAATGGCTTAGATGCCCTTTCATTCGGTTGAGTCATTTGTCTAACAATCAAGAATACTTATTTGTACTTCAATAACCAAGTTACACCCTCACCCTTGCCCCATCGTACTGAATCTTCGCAACATCATTGACCTTGTTTTCCCCTGAAATTCGAATGGCTTTCGATTACAGCAGTCCAGCATTCTACTGTTTCCATTGGCTTCGCCAGAAATGGTTTGCAACATTCAAAAGGAAACACGTGACAGACTAAAATAGAACCAAGTCACAAACATATCCTAGTAGTCGATATAAGACTTACCCTATAGTTTGTACGACAGATGATGCAAATAAAGATTCGATCTTTCGGTTCAAGGAGAGCAAGAAAGAACGAATCCATCTTACCCGAATGGCATCCGAACCCGGCCTGGCACGCTTCTGCCTCCTGTACTTGATCAATCCATTGCTAGGCGAATCTTCCAACTTCAAGAACCCATTAGACTTCCGTTCTTCCACAGACATCTCCGAGGCCTAACGTGCTCCCCCGTCACGCGCTAGGGTTTCGGCCGACTTCGTAACCACCCATACTCCAGATCCAACGATGAACCCCACAAAAGATCGACAAATAAAAAATAACAAAGTAGGGATGAATCAGCAGAGAGGGAGGGTGGGGAAACGAATTAAAGGGGAAAGATCGGATCTTGCCAAGCTAGGAATCGTGAAGGAGGACAGGAAGTGGGCAAGAAGAAGGAAGTTAAGACAATAACCCTAGCTTCTTGGTGTCGGGGATTTGAATTTGGGGAAAGAGATGGGTCGCAGATATAGGAGGCGGGCTGACGGGCCCACTGTTCCTCGTTAAGGCGAATGGATTTGGGGATCAATCGGAAAATGAAATTACAGTCTTCAATTTCAGAAGAAAAAATTATTATTTTTTCTTATTCCATGAACAAAAATACCAAAGCAAAACAAAATCTAACTAATTCTTGGTAGATAAATAATATATGTATATATATAATTTAGATGTTAGATTATACATATACATGTTTTCGTTTCTAATTTCAATTTATTGATCATTAAGAAACACCGTTTGGTAAGTCGCATATATTAATTGTAGGGTTAACATGGATAATTTGTATTTTTATATATAAATCAAACTAACTACTGAAAAATAAGATTAATAATAATTACCATAATTTCTTTCAAAATTCTCCTCTTTTGAAAATTTTGGGCGACCTGTACTGGACCTACCCTCATGCTCTACTCGTCTCCACGTGTGTGCGTTTTGATTAAAGATCGATGAGCCTAGTGTAAGAAGCACCCGCGGGGCCCGTCTCTCAGTATTCGGTGAATAAGCGGGTAGATTGGAATCATAGTATCCACAAAGCCGTTAGACCGGCGTTCGAGTGGCTAAATTCACTTGAGTCTGCACCTCCTCCGGTCAACCATCTTCGCAATCTCAACTCCATTCGGTGCCAATTCCGCCTCTGACCGATGGGACTCTCCCGCACCGCCCTTCTCCTCCTCGCCGTGGCCGCGCTCTCCCTCCTCTCCGCCGACGCTGCCCTCTCCGCTCCCGCCACCAAGGTGTGCGTGCTTGGTAGCGGCATAGGCGGTTCCTCGGTGGCACATTTTCTCAAGCAATACACCTGCGAAAGTGTCACGACTCCTTGTATCGACGACATCCGCATCTTTGAGCGACGGGAAAAGGTTGGCGGTCGCATGGCCACCGTCACCATCGGCGGAGACACCTTCGAGGCCGGGGCTTCCATCATCCACCCCAAGAATCTCCACGCCGTCCGCTTTGCCCGTCTCCTCAACCTCAATACCAAAACCGGTGACGACTCCGATTCCGATCCAAAGTCCAACGTTTCCTCCTCGTCCTCCTGGTTCGGTATTTGGGATGGATCTGTGTTCGTATTCCAGACCCTCCCACCTCCTTCCCCCTCAAGCTCCGCGATCTACCGCAAGATGTACCCTTTATTGAACTCGCTGGTCCTTGCATGGCGCTATGGATTCTCCCTCCTCAGGATGGATCGCTTCGTCAAGGTACCTTCCCCATTTTGTTCAGTCGTTGACTTTGTAGCTGTCTTAGAATTTACTGAAAGGTGCAAGCTTTACCACAATGGGAACGTGTTCTCTCTCATATTTTGATTCTTTCGAACTATTGTATCTACAACAGTGATCTTGATATACTGGTGGAACAGGAAATGATTGAAAGGTTCATTCTTTACTACAACGATTTCGAGTCCCGGCCTGTGTTTGAGACGGTGGAGGAGATGCTCAAGTGGTCGGGGTTATACGGACTGACCCATCGGACACTTCAGGAGGAATTGGCTGATGCAGGCTTGTCTTCACGGCTAGTATCTGAGTTAGTAACAGTATGAATCATTTGACTTGAATTGCTCTCTTTAATAGTGCATGTTTCTATTTTATACCGGCTAGTGGACACTTGTAGAAAATGATAAATTCTATTGAATCTGTGTCTAGGGTTTGCTTGTGTACACCAAAGCTTGGTCTTCTAAGAAGATGTTTAGTAGGTGCAATGAGGGGAAGAATCTCTTTGGTTACGATAATGACACTATATTTATTTTGGTACAAGTTGATAGCCACATGTTACATATGATTTGAAAGCTAAAAACCATAAGTTTTTATTTGATTAAGTTGAGTTTGTCTCTTTTGCTTGGTATGACCAAGAACAGAAAATATTTCTGTGAATACTACTCCGCATGGTGCACCTTCTTCCACTTTTGGCACTAGCAAAACTAGATAGTTTAACTGTTTTGGTGCATTGTTTTGGATTCTATGTTCTGATAATTTGTCACCATTCAGTTCGTCCAATTGGCAGTATTTTGCATTAGTGGTAGAGATCTTCATCTCATGTTTGAAGAATACAGGTTGTCCTTCAAGGACATGTTTACATATGATAATTTTCCTATCTCAATGTCTAAGAAAAATGGATAACTGCTAGAAAACTTAGTATATGAATGGACAGTTTGTTTAATTTGCATAGACTTCAGAAAAGAACTTCCTGTAATTCTATAGTTAAGACTCAGTAAATTGGACCTCTGCTTTTCAAAGCTTGTAAATTTCCCTTTTTGCAGCTCCACCAAAGTGGTCCGATGCCTATAGTGGAGCAATATGTTATACCAGATAATGTATTCTACTTTAGTATATTTATGATAGATGGATGCATTATAGTTGGAAGTAAACACATCCTTAAGTTCTACATGTTTTTTGTATGCAAATTTTTGGAAAGAAAGCTGAAAAATGCCACACTTCTTTGCCAATTATGTTTTTGCTATATCCTGTCTAGACTCTTTAAAAATGTTTGATTGGTCTCTTCGTTCACCAGGTAATAACAAGAATTAACTATGGTCAGAGTGTTAGCATCAGTGGACTAGCTGGGGCAGTTTCCTTAGCCGGTTCTGACTCCGGATTGTGGTCGGTGGAAGGGGGAAACTGGCAGCTTGCTGCAGGGCTGATTAGTCATACCAATGCCACACTGCATCTCCATGAAGGAATAGATTCGATCTCCTATGCTGGAGGGTATTATGTGCTCAACTCTACAAAGGGGAACTCATACGCCTGTGATGTGACAGTGATTGCTACTCCACTAGATGAGCTAAATATGACCATTAGCCCTCCAATTTCAGTTCCCGGTAGAAGTTTACAGCATACATTTACAACTTTCGTGAGGGGTCTCCTTAACCCTGTAAGTATCCTGTAGAATAGTAAATATCATTTTTCTTTACTAGTATTTCTCGTCTCTGGTGCATTTTTTTCTTTTTCCCTATAATTTATCATGGATAAACTTCATTTGAACCTTGATAGCAATGACCATGGAGTTTGTTGCTATGCGCAAAAAGACTTCTTTTTCCATTTGAAGCTGGTTTTCCTTCTATTCTTATCTGAGCTACTATGGCTTATGCTTGCAGAATTTAGCAATAGTTAATTGTGTCTGTTCTTATTTTTCCTATTCACTAGAAATACTTTGGACTGAATTCTGCATCGGAAATTCCAGACCTTGTGGGCACACTTGAGCTTCCTGATATTCCGTTCTCATGTATATCTGTTCTTAAGAAATACAGCGAAGAAGATATGACTTATAAGATGTTCTCTCGTGCACAATTGGCTGACGTCTTGCTCGATCAAATATTCAGGTAAGTACTGACATCTTGCCAATTCGAGATGTAATAATGGTCAGGAAAATAAAAAATTGTACAGGCCTATGAATACTGAATGATTACTGTGCATGGTCATTGACAGCAAACGGAAGGAAACTGTCCGGATAAACTGGCCTGCATATCCTCATTATGAAGCGCCAGAGGTGTTTGCCCCCATAGTTCTGGATGGGTTGCATTTATATTACATTAATTCCTTTGAAAGTGCTGCTAGTACAATCGAGACCAGTGCAGTCGCAGCCGAGAATGTGGCACGACTAATTATCTCAAGGATATCTAGTCCATCGGCAAATGCTCCATTAATCATTTCTCCTCATTCCGCTGAAGGAATTCTGCACACCGATCTGTAAGAGAGGGATGAATAAACAGGCCTTGGATTAACCTAGTTGGATCTTTATTGTGTACACTCATGTTTTAATCAGTATCCTAGTGAGTGTGTAAAGACTGGTTTTAAGGTTAAGTGAAAATGGAGTGGCAATATTATGTTCTCTAATTGAGAAGGCTTAATTTTGTATTATGTATGTCACTGACATTTGTACAGTTTAATCTTTTGCTGATTGCTATTGTAATGATTTTTGTCACATATACATTGACCAACATTTACATGCAGCTTTTGTTGAGCAAATTATGGGCAGATAGAATGATCAATCTTTTTCTACAATTAAACATGTTTGTTCATTTGGTTCTTTTGTTTGCAAATTACACACATATTCTTTTCAAAAATAGAATTTTATAATTCTTAAAATATCCTATGACATTATTTAAAATCATAAAATTATCAACATGATTTAGTGAGAAACTAACATGATTTATATCTTTTATAAGGTAAAATTTTATTTTTTATTTTTAAATATTGTTTTATATTTATGTATATTATTTTATTTATTTATTTATTATATCTAGGTCATATAATTTTTATATATTATATACATTTATTTATTTATGTTTATTAATATATATATATATATATATATATATATGATTTTGAATAAATATTTAAGATACATAAAATATTTAATGAACTTTTAAAATATAATTTTACCAAACACTCATGTCAATGAATATTTAAGATGCAATTTATATCTATTATTTATCAAAACACTCAAAACATTTTATAATTACATATTTCAAGTCCCTTTCTCTAAATATATATTAGAAATACAAATCCGTGAGTTCTCTATATTCTCATAATTAATCCATCCAATATTAAAAAATAAAACTATTATCAATACTATATAATAATATTTTTTTAAATTTTTAATAATATTATTATTATTTATAAAATTTACATGTCATGACAATATTCAAATACAAATATATCCAAATATAATCATATCCAAATACATATAAATATATCCAAATAAATCTATAAATTAATAATTTTCTCAATTAATCTTAAAATTTTAGTTTTTATGCTCACATATCCTTGCAAGATAGATCCTATATAAATAGGAAAATATATAAGTTGTCTATAAATACGAGGAGCATGTTGGGAGGGGTGTTGCCATTAGGTATGTGTTGCACACAAGGGTGTCATATGGGGGGTGTGTAGGGAGAAGTGTCATCGTCATGTTTCAAGGACTAGATGAGTATCATAGTGTTAATGGGATTAGAAAAATTAAATCGCTAATGATCGAAG